TATTTTTTTAGTTGGTCAATTAATTTATTTCTATTTCTAGGCAGAGACAGGGTCTCGCTCTGCTCAGGCTGGTTCTCGAACTCCTGACCTTGAGCGATCCTCCTGCTCGGCCTCCCGAGAGTGCTGGATGACAGGCGTGAGCACACCTCGCCCGGCTAAAAGTATTTATTATACCAAATTGGGAGGCTCTTGAACAATTCGGAGTGAATTCAGAAACTTCGGCCATCTCGATGGTGCAGTTGAGAACACAGATATTAATCAAATAACCACATAGATAAATGAATTGCAAATCTGAGCCTCCCTCCTCGTCTCTGTTTCTGCTTCCTGGCTTTATGTGTTTTTAGAGTACCTTTCACCCTCTAACATTTGTATTTATTTGTTTGGTTATTGTCTGTTTCCCATTCTAGAATGTTGGCTCCATAAGAAGAGAGGCTTTGTTCTGCTTAATGATGCAACCTCAGTATCTAGAAGAGATTCCGGCGCGTGGTAGGCGCTCAGTAAATGTTCGCTGAACGAAGGCATTCATAAACACTCTCAGGAGAAGCATTCATTGTTACGGAGTCCTGTACCCAGAGAAGCTGACCACATCAGTGAGATTAAGAAAGGCTTTTCTGCAGACACGATGCCTGAGTCGAGAAGAAGGAGCCAGCATTGACCAGGCTGAGAAAGGAGGGCAAGACTATTCGAGGCAGTATGTGCAAAGGCCCTGTGGTGAGAGGGAGCAGGGAAAAGATAAGGGACAGAAGGAAGACCCGAGGGGCAGACGAGGAAAGACCAAGGGAAACAGGACTGCAAGATGGAAAGGAAGGGAGGGGCCTGACCTTGCAGATCCTTGTAGGCTGAATTAAGAAGTCAAGGAGTTATCTTCATTCTAAGAGCAATGGGAAATCGCGTGAGTATTTTAAGCAGGGGAGTGATGACATTGCTAGATCTGGAAACACTCCTCTGACTTCAGTGTGGAGCAGGCATTGGAGCTGGGCCGAGGAAAAAGGCAGATGGGAAACTGAGGGATGTGAGCAGCCTGAACTTGAGTGCTGGTAGCTGGAAGCAGACGGGTCAGTAGAAATATCAGGGGTAAAACCAGGGAGACTTGGTGGAGGGTCGGGTACAGGAGGAGGCGGGAGGGGGTGTCAGGGCGGGGCTGCTGCAGTCCACGGCTTGGGCCCTGGGATGGTGGTGCCATTCGCTGAAATAGGGACCCCGGAAGATTGTCCAGCTTCGGAGGCAAGATGATCAGTTCCAGAAAGTTGATGAGCTCAGCTTGCGTCCGGGTTAGACAGGTTTCTTTGGGGACATCCAAGGGGACATATTAAGTCAAAGATGGTGTGGAACTTGGAAACTCTGGGCTGGAGCTCTAAATCCATGAGTGTTCCAGAACTGGTCATGGAAACCACGAGCTACAGACTAGATTTGGAAGAGGAGAGAATTGTAGCTTCATGGTAAGACCTCTCTCTCTCTCTTTTTTTTTTTTTTTTTTTTTAAGTAAAGGATGGAAACCCAGAATGCAGAATGTGGACAGCCAAAGCTGGTCTAAGCTGGTAAGCGTGGGCATCCACAGCCACAGCTGAAGGGTCTTAAATGAAGTTTCACCCTCGCTCGGTAGGGCAGTCAGCAAGCCACAGAGAGCAATCTGTCCCATCAGGTGTCAAGAAACGTTATTTCTTGATGACCTTTCGTGTCCCCAGGCCTCTCGGTAGCGCTCGGGCCGATCACACGGACCGGGTTACTCATGAGAACGGAAAGGTTCATGCTTTGGCATGTTCTTGACATGTAGCCAGCGCCATGTGATGCCAGGAAGAGAAATTAACAAGTGGGGACGGTGCATTTCTCAGGAGCAAACCTCCCCAAGCCAGCTCCCCCCACCCCAGACCCCCACGCAGCCTGTGCTTGCCCGAGCTCCTTTGTTCTAGAAAATTCTACAGCTTAGATTCAGGCATTCCCCTCCCAGTCCGCACCCAGGAAAAACATCCCCAGGCATCCACTGACGAGCGGACGTGGAGAGATGTCCGAGTTCAGCTGCTCAGTGAGAAAAGCAGGCGACAAACATTGTGCAGCGGATGAGGTCAAATCTGCACAACAACAACAACATAGATACACACAGGTACGAGCTGTTCCTAGTGGTTATCTCTGGGTGGGTGGTGGTGGTATTAGGTTTTTATTTGCTCCTTTGCACTCACCTGTACTGTCTCTATATGTTTATTTCTTTTTTTTTTTTTTTTTTTTTGAGACAGAGTCTCACTCTGTTGCCCAGGCTAGAGTGAGTGCCATGGCATCAGCCTAGCTCACAGCAACCTCAAACTCCTGGGCTCAAGCGATCCTCCTGCCTCAGCCTCCCGAGTAGCTGGGACTACAGGCATGCACCACCATGCCTGGCTAATTTTTTCTCTCTATATATATATTAGTTGGTCAATTAATTTCTTTCTATTTTTAGTAGAGGGTCTCGATCAGGCTGGTTTCGAACTCTTGACCTTGAGCGATCCTCCCGCCTCGGCCTCCCAGAGTGCTAGGATGACAGGTGTGAGCCACCGCGCCCGGCCTAAACCTACCATTTTTTTATGGCCAGTTTCAAATCTTACCTCGTTTCAGAATCTTTCAAGATATTCCTAACTGGAAGAAATCATTCCATTTTTAAAACATATATAGAAAAAAACCCATAAAATGTATGTAGGATACATCGAAATGCATCTATGTCTCTATGGCAACACTTAACTACTCTCTTTCTTCAATTACAGTTTTATAAAGTGTTGCAATGCCTTCCATAGCAGGGACTGTGTTTGAGTCTTTTCTGTCTCTTGTGTCACCTAATATCCAACCCCTAATGTCCAACATGTCATGCCCATTGTAGGCAACCACTAAGTACTTTTTGACTGGATGGTAATGTACACTTTGGGGCACTTTCTGTGTTTCTGGAAGGTTCCATCAAAATCTAGTCTCTCAAAATAAATGCTACTTTTTTAAAACAAAATAACTTGGAGATTGAACAACTTTGCATTGGTGTTCTGTGGCTACTATATGCAAAAATACCAAAAATCAACGTCACCCAATATAAGATGCGTTGGTGTTAGTGCCGGGACTCCGAGAAATAGGCAAGTTGAGACTCAAACTAGGCTTCTTAAGGTTTATTTCTGAATTTCTCAAGCCATAGATGCTGCTTTTCTCTTCCCAGAGCTCCTAATAGGTCCTGAAATGCTAAGAAATATGTCAAAAATCCCAAAGATAAGCTGAGAAAGGGTCAAGTGCAATTCAATGTGTAATTATTTTTTTAAAAAAGGAATCGTGATCCATGACTTATTTCTTGGCTCCAACCTAGCAGAATGCCTTGAAGACAATCACAGATTTATCGACCACGTGCACACTCGGAGGCCGAGGTATTTATGAGCAGGCTTAGCAGGTGGGGGAGGCAGGATAAGATCTTTGGTTCCCCAGATGAGGCGATAGACCTCCTTGCTCAGATTTCGGACTGCCCTGCTCAACACGCACATGAATCCAATTGAAGCTTGCATCCCTGCCTGCTCCCAAAGGTGCAACGTGTTCCAAATACTCCTTCACCCCATCTCTTTCAGCCCAGCCCAGCTCTGTTAGCCCCCAGCCCCAGAGATGGCTTACACAGCTTCCTAAACTCAAGAATCAGCACTGAGATACCACATAGCAAGGTCTGGTTCTTTTACCGTTTACATGTGTTCAGATACTCGACAAGCACAGCATGGAGCACCTACTACGTGCTGTGCTAGTTGCTGGGCACAAAACAGTCATCAAGGCAGCATGCCTGCCCTGGGGGAGCTTCCAGTCCAGCAAGGCAAAATGGATGGTGTGCAAATAAATGCCCACGGAGATATTTCGTCACAGTTGTTATAGATCCGATGAAGGAGAAGAATGGCAGGGAACAATCAGCGGCATTTCTGAACCGAGCTGAGTCTCGTCTGAGACAGCCCCCAAGGGTGAGTTCAGAGTGTCCCAGGTGGAGAAGACAGGACAGGTGAAGGCAGCAGGGCCACGAGTGTGGAGCATCGTAGGGACCGAGAGAGAGGCTGGTGAAGTCACACAGGGCTTTGCGGGCCACATAAAAGGGTAGGATTTTCTCTGCAGAGCAATAGGGAGCCCTGGAAGGTTATGGAGCAGGAGAGTGACATGTCCAGATCTGCAGCTTTTAACGATCTCTCTGGCTGCTGTGTGGAGAGGCAGGAGGGGCTAGAAGGCGGCAGGGCCGCCAAGTAGGAGGCTGTTGCGGTCGTCCAGGCGAGAGAGGGGTAGGGGTGCGAGTAGCTCGAGGCATCGTAGAACTGAGAGATGGAGAGAGGGGAAGGAGTCACGCTACGTCTCAGAAGATGTATGCAAAACCCGAAACCGAAACCCGAATTCATGTCACCTTGTGAGACGTGCTGAAGTCAGCGCTGAAAGATTTCAATCAGGTGCTTGTTCATTTTTCGTTTCATAGGTTTATGAGACTAACAGACTCCATTGAACCATGTAATTAGAGATATTCCATAACTAGTTGATTTTTTTTTCTCAAAAATTTCCGCGAAACCCTGTAGAAGGACAGTAGAGGCCACCAAAACTAGAAGTCCTACATTACCAAGTTAAATCGGTGGTGTTGAACTTCAGTTACGTGCGACGCACTCTGGGATATTCAATAAAATAGAGGCAGGGTGCAGTGGCTCACACTTGTCATCCTGGCACTCTGGGAGGCCGAGGAGGGAGGATCGCTCGAGGTCAGGAGTTCGAAGCCAGCCTGAGCAAGAGCGAGACCCCATCTCTACTATGAATAGAAAGAAATTAATTGGCCAACTAAAAATATATAGAAACAATTAGCCAGGCATGGTGGTGCATACCTGTAGTCCCAGCTACTCCTCGGGAGGCTGAGGCAGGAGGATCGCTTGAGCCCAGGAGTTTGAGGTTGCCGTGAGCTAGGCTGACGCCATGGCACTCACTCTAGTCTGGGCAAGCAACAGAGTGAGACTCTGTCTCAAAAATAAATAAATAAATAAATAAATAATAGGCCAGTGCAGGGAACCCAGACAGACAAGATGCAGAAATGACCACACTTGTGGACGGACCCTTCATGGATGGATGAATTTATCTTTGCCTTGTTCCAGAAAGGAGTTCAGGAGGCTTCCAGGGACTCGAATATACAGCAGGAAAACGTAAATTAAAAAAAAAAAAAAGGAATGAAAAGAGTAAGAAAAACAAGGGTGGTGTTCGAAAAAAATGAAGCCAGGAATGCGGCTAAATGTACGTACAGCTTTGGCCTCGCCCAGATTAGGGACTCGGATCAAAGAAAATGAGCTGAGCAGCTGCAGAGGACTCCACAGTCCCTTTTTCTAGCCCTGGCTCTCTTTGCTCCATTCTTGTCTTGGATTCTTTCCATTTCAAAGCCCGGATCGTGCTCCGAGCTGGGTTATCTTGTCCGCACAGTCTCTGCTATTTGAAAGCCATCCTTCGTTATAAGATGGACAGAAATAGCTTCCACGTCTTCCTGCAAACTCATCACCATTCCTAAAGAGACAACTCTAAGACATAGGTCTCTGCTACTGACTCCTGTGGAAATAAAGGGTGGCATATTTGGGGACAGTATGCGGTCCCTAAGTGACCAGGACAGGCTGGGAAAATAGAGTTGTTCCAAGTCTCAGTAACAATCTGAACTTAGAGCGAAGAGGAAGGAAAGCCATGGAGGAGAAGCAGGAGGAACACAGGATAGTAATCTTGTCACCAGACTGCTGGGTGTCTGCCCACTGACCTCCCACGGGCTGGGCCTTTGTCCCCTCTTGATGGCAGCCGGCAAGTGCTTGGTTGGTAGACGCACCCGTTACGTGCCTGCAGAGAACAAATACGTGCTGGAGGACAGAAATAAAAGTGTGTCTCTAGGCTCCCATTAGTGTTCAAACAGTTGTGAACATTGAAACTGATCATGTCAGTTCTCCGGGCCTCAGTTTTCTAATCTGTGAAAGTAGGGTGTACGCAACAGAGATTGCTACCGTGTTTCCCCGAAAATAAGACAGGGTCTTATATTTATTTTTCCTCAAGAAGACACCCTAGGGCTTATTTTCAGGGCATGTGTTATTTTTTTTTTTAAGGACGGTACAACAATCTACAATTGATTCAAATGGAGTGGAGTCGTCTTCTTCTGGAACATCATCCTCACTCTCCAAAGCCCGAATCCCATCCTGAATGTCTTGCGACTCTGTTTCCTTTAGAACCACTGGCCCCGATCTCTCCTGTGGAGCACTAGAGCTCTCACGGGGCAGATGAGAAGGGCTGCTCGTGTTCTTTCCCGCTCCACGACAAAATGCATGGGTTGTGCAAATGTGCTGCGAAGCTGTGCCCACCACTAGGGCTGATTTTCATAGCCACGCCCATCACTAGGGCTGATTTTTCATAGCCACGCCCATCACTAGGGCTGATTTTCAGGGTGGGGCTTCTATTGCGCACATGCTTAGACATCCTGCTGGGGCTTATTTTATGGGGACGTCTCATTTTCGGGGAAACACGGTAACTATCAGGGAACGTTCATTCTCATCTTGTTACAGACGAGATGGATGCTATACGGGTTCTATTCTAAGATCTATACTCCTTTCCTCCCAACTGCTTTCCTAGGATTTTGCAGTCTGACTCGCTAGAGAATTCTGACTTGATCTCAAAAGGAGCCCTGGGGTCTCACTGGATGCCAGCGCTGGGCAGGAGGTAAGCCTGGTCACATCGTACCGGGACTGAAGATCAGCCGGGCGGTGGCAGATTAGCCACAGGTGAGTAATTAAGAGCAGCCTGGGATGGGCCATCTAGTTTGCAATCCTTTAAATGACCAACTGGGGACACCCAGAGAGCAGCAGGTACAGGCAGCTTATAGCACATATCAGAGACTTCACAGCTTCATGGAGAGACGCTGAGGAACAAATGACAAATACTGAACAGTTATGACAACAGGCCGGGCGCGGTGGCTCACGCCTGTAATCCTAGCACTCTGGGAGGCCGAGGCGGGCGGATTGCTTGAGGTCAGGAGTTCGAGACCAGCCTGAGCAAGAGCGAGACCCCGTCTCTACTATAGCAATAAATGAATTGGCCAACTAATATATATAGAAAAAAAAATGAGCCGGGCATGGTGGCGCATGCCTGTAGTCCCAGCTACTAGGGAGGCTGAGGCAGGAGGATCGCTTGAGCCCAGGAGTTGGAGGTTGCTGTGAGCTAGGCTGATGCCACAGCACTCTAGCCAGGGCAACAGAGTGAGACTCTGTCTCAAAAAAAAAAAAAAAAAAAAAGATATTTTTAACTCACAGCAAAATAATTGCGCTCTTAGGGGAATGCAGTTTCTAATGCATATAAACAGGCTCCTTGGTGTTTTCCAGGCTTTTCTGCTCCCCGAAATGCAGCCCTGGCGGAGGCTCCGGCTCTGTGTAATGCTCGGCTCGAGCCAGAGATGAAGTCATGCCGCTGGCTCCACGAGCCCTCGCAGCTGCACAACATCCTGAGAGACGCGCACTCCCTTTTGGAGCGAGGAAATTTGCCCACAGAGCCACGAGCAGCACTAGTCAGTTCTCAGCTGCTGGGGAGCCGCCTCTGGGCCGGCGGGGGTCCGGAGCCACTCCAGAACTTTCCTTAAGGCCCCGCCCTATGTGGTTTTTGGGGACAGGCTTGGCGCTGGCTCCATCTGTGTCCTGTTATTTTCCCTAAAGCTCGAGCCTCATGGGGCCAGGTCCCACCGCATAAAACATTCAGAGAAGCGTTCCCATGGGACCTGAGCTTGCGATTCCTTCTGGTCCATTCTGCGCTCTCAGTTGGAAGGCAAAAGAAGCCAACGTTCCTGTCCTTGAAATGAGTCAATTAATTTCCATAAAACTCGGAACAAAATGATCCTCTAGAGGAACTTCACTTAGTAAAAGAGTGAGATGAAAGGGACAGGGTGGGGTAAGGGCAACGGAAGAGGGTGACAAAAGTCATCATCGTAATGACAATATGATCACAGGTTTGACAAAGAGCGACTCCCTTAAGTAGCCATGAGTATCAGGCGTCTACAGGACTATGTGGCTGTTAACATTTCATTTTTTTTATAATCTACTAATGCATTTTAAATTAAATTAAACATAGAAGTGGGATTTCAAAATGTACTAATAAAATATTGATTTTAGATATGTTTAGTTATATCCTTTCTTCTATAGTCCCATATATGTTAAAAGACTGTATATCTAAAGGGATCGTTAGATGCTTTCCTTAAGTCAGTACGATCCCTCCCTCCCATTTCTTCAGGTCTGGCTGTACAGAGTAAATCTCTATCGGAGACAATTCTAGGGAAATGCAAGAGGAAGAAAGAGACCAGGAAGCGGTGTGTCTAGCATCCACTGGTTTGTGCTACTCCAAGCGATGCAATGAGCCGAAAGGAAAGCTAATTCGCAGTCGCCTGCCTGTTCTCGTGAGTCTAGCGTGCAGAGACCACGGAAGAAGGGGCCCAATGTGTTTTATCTGAGAGCTTGTGTGAGCCCTCCTTCTCGCTCTCTATATGATTGGTAGTGTATAAAGAAGTGTGGGCTCACGCCTGTAATCCCCTAGCCACTTGAGGCGGCCGACGCGGCCGGTGGCTCAAGTCAGAGTCAAAACCAGCCTGAGCAAAGAGCGAGACCCGCGTCCACTATCAAATAAGAAATTAATGACCAAACCTAAAAAATTAGCACAGAAAAATACCGCATGGGGCGCATGCCTTAGTCCCAGCACTGAAGCTGAGCAAAGATTCTTGAGCCCAGGATTTGAGGTTGCTCCTGAGCCAGGCTACGCCCACGGCATCACTCACCCGCCGAACCGACGCGGTCGTCAAAAAAAAAAAAGTGCCATCGGGATATGTTGTTTCTTTTTTTTTTTTTTCATGTAAAAAGAGCCCAGACAAGGGAGAGAAAGCCTCACTTGCAATCATCTCAAACACAGACCGTTGGTTTGGACAACCAGTTTGCGAGCGAACCTTTCCCTTGGAACAGGCAGGGCGTTCCGCAGTTCTAATCAAAAACCAAGTCAAGAAGATCCGCCCTCACCAATGCAGGTAGCATGCTCCAGGCGCTGAGGCCTGAGATAGCAACCGAAAAGGCAAAGGTAACGGGTGAATTGTGGCTCCCCTTTTCCTGGCCGGTGGACTTCCTCCCCTTGACTTCAACGCAGAGCTCCCTTCCTGAAGCCTTTTGCCGCCTGGACCTACCCCATGGCTGCCCATTTCTCCAGGCCTTTGCCCCGAGTGAAATACCACCCGGCCCTCTGTTCTCCACGCCTGCAGATCATGCACCCTCGCATTCATTATTTCACATGAGCCAAATCCATAATACAATCTCCCTTAATAACGTATCATATCACCTTATTGGTCTACTGATCTCTCTGGAGAACCCAGAGACTAACCCAAAGAGGTCCCTGGCTCTGGCCTCATGGACTCAGTGGGCCATCCCAAAGGTGATCCCATCTTTAAGGAATACTGCACATTCCACCTGTGTTCTTCCTCAGGTACCTTGCAATTCTTGAGTAGCTCGGCCTCCTGTAAGAGAGGAACTGGCAGCAGATACCACCACTGGTTTCCCTCTGAACTAAAACCAGGACTGGTCTCATGTCCCCCCTCATTGGCTCTACAGAGCTCTCTGGGTCTGGGTGATCCACCTGTGAAAGTCACTTCATCCCTACTCGTGGTGCCCGAGGGCAAGCCCATGGCTCTCAGACCCATTCCTGCCTTCAGAGACCCTTATAAGTGCACACGGGGCCCTGTCTGTGGAGGCGATTGGTGGTGGGCGACCAAAGTCTGTTCTCCCTTTGTTCCATCCGTAGTAACACAATGATTATACCTGGGCCAATATGGCCGCCCAGTTATATTACATTTCCCAGCAGTCTTTGTGGTTAGTCTTTGGTCACGTGACCGAGTTCTGGCCAATAAAAATACGAGAAGAGGCCATGTCCACCGCGTTTGGGCCAGAGTCTCACGACATTGGCTGTGCTTCCCCCAGACTCAATTTTTTTTCCCCTTCCTGCCAAATGGAACCCAGATTATGGCAGTCACATACAGTTGATGACAAATGCCCTAGGCCCTGTAGCGGAACAACCGCTAGGAAAGGAAACTGAGTCCCTGGATGAAGAGTTGACCACCAGCCTCGAAAATCGCCTCAGACTATTCGAGGAGAGAACTTCTTGGTTCTTCGAACTACTATAAAGTTGGGCCCGTTGGTCACAGAAGCAGTTTCCTAACAGCAGCTGAAGGGACCAGTTGCAATCAGGGAAAGGCACACGCATTTCAAGGAAAGTAACCAAGGTGGGTCTCTGGGGCAGGAGTCTTCTGTCCTTGGCCTCCTCTCTTCCTGTTAGACACAGCCCTCTGCCTTGGAGCAGGGAGACCCGGCTCTACACGTCCTTATCTCTCCTCTTTCTCCATCTCTGTCCCCATAATTTCCACGCTCATGAATGTGAACCTGGGTTTTTGTCCCCCTTTATTGTCTATCTCCATCTCTCAAGTAGCAAGCCTAACAGTATTGTCACCATAGGAGAAGGGAATGGCTTCTCTACTCTTATGGGAAGGACTCAATATTCTGAGTTTTTCAGTCTTGGTCTTGATAGCTAAAGGAATTTAGAGACTCCTCTCTCTCTGGACAAAACCTGGCTTTCAATCGTACTGTCTGCAAAATCCTAGTTCGATCCATGAACATGAAAATGCAAAAGAGAAATGCTCATGAATAGGTTTTGGAGAATCACCTCTCATTACACAGGGAATAAAAGGAAAAGACTTACACCAAGATGTACATAAAGGTTATAACTGTATGATAAAATTATGTGATTTTTAGCAAGTCTCCTTCTTTTGACTTTATTTTCTGACTTTTTTATGATCAGCATATACCACTTGGCTAACCATTTTTTTAAAAAAATCAATAAAAGTTATTTTTAAAGTATGCCTGTAGCACCATCAGTGGGGAATTACTGATCTATGGTAGGTAAGAACTCGAGGCAAATTGCAGTCTCCGTGGGAGCTAATTTAAACTTGTCAGAGCAGTTAAATTAATTAGGTCTTAACTGACATTTAACAGCAAGGGTGGCAGGCCTGATATAACTTAGCAAGGACTTAGAAAATTAGGGATAATAGCATGCAGATTGTATTTCTACAAAGCACGCTCAATTCAAAGGAAATGGTGCATCAGGTAGTGTTTCTAAAAAAAATGCCTCTGCATTTCAGTTTGTTCTTTTTCCTGGAGAATTGCATGGGTGGGATATCGAGGATGAAACACAACCCCGTTTTTGTTGGCATTCCTTCTTCCCGTATTCCGACACGGGAATTACTTCAGGCTTTGCTGGACTCCTTCAGGTAAGGATCATTGCAAATAAATCTCGGAGCACTTTCCCTCTATATAACAAACAGGGACCAAGAGCTCTCTTCTCTAATAAGTAAAATTTCCTTGCAAACAGTAAGATACAAGAGTTAGATTTGTCTCTTTTGAGTTTTCCTGTGAAAAAAGAAAAAAGGGAAAAAAAAAATAAAAGAGTTGGATTTGCAATGTCCAGGAGACAAAGAGGAAGTTGAGAGTTTCCAGAAAGGTGTGGAACAAACTCCTGAGCAAGAAGGGAAGAGAGGGGCTTAGTGGCCACCTTGGTGGCCCTGCTCGGCCTGGGCTGGGACAGAGCTGGGGGTAGGGAGGAGGCAGAGGAACCACAGCGGTGCCTTGGAGGAGTCATTTTAAGGAAAGTTGCAGCTGAATGTCACAAGCGAGAAACTGAAACCGCAGCCTTCCAGGAAAAGAAAAAGGTTAGCAGGAAATTCTAAACTCTGCATCTTTGCCTCACGTAGGTCTGCAGGGAGCACCCTGCCCCTTTGCACGCTCTCTCCGGAGTGCAAAGAAATTTGCAAGGCTGTTTTCATTTTTCATCTGGAAACCTCCACGGCCGCGCCAGATACCGAGTCAAAATACAGCAGAGGGGCTCTGCAAACACTTGCGGGGCAAAGGTTTCTCTCTGCAGCTCTCCTGGTTCCAGAAATGTCACCTGTCTGCTGGTGGGGGCTGGGCTCTAATCACTTGCAGCTGTGCTGGCTCCTGCTCTGGCCTTAGCTCCTCCCTGTCTGGCCTCCCTGCCTTGTGCCTCTCACGCAGGAAAAATGAAGTACCGGACTCAAATCCCTACTCAGGATTTGGGGGTCCCAAGAGCAGGAGCCTCACCACGGTATCCCTCTCCAGCCACAGATGAAATGATGAGGCTGGCTCGCCCCAGATAGGGGTGTCTCTTTTCTGCCCTGAAGCTGAGCACCCACCCCCATCAATGTCAGCCATGCACACAAACACAGAGCAGGTGACAACTCCCTGCAAATCCCACCCTCCTATGTACCCACACCCCCCCCCAGATTCCTTATTAGCAATTGGTTCTCTTGGGCTCAACGAACCTTCTTTGGGCTGTCATCTTCTGAAATACACACCTCCCTGCTGCAGTGGTACCCGTATCAAATCAATTTCACACACAGAGCCTTGGCGATTTGCAGGGATCGAAAGTCTATGGCTAGAATCAGAGTAAATGCATGTTGGGCAGAAGTGAGCAATGAAGCCAGGTTGGTGGGCAGGGACTGCCTATATCCGTGGTCCTCAAACTTGACCTTCCATCGGAGTGACCTGGAAGGCTTGCTGAAACACGCATTGCTGGCCTCCAGGGTTCCTGATCCAGTTAGTCCTTGGATGGCACTTTGGAATTTGCATTTCCATCAAGTTCTCCGGTGATGCTGACCCCTGGTCCGGGGACCACACTGTGAGAACCATTGTCCTACCGAGGAACTTGGACTCTATACATCGGGCAACGTAGGATACGTGAAGGATTTTGATCTGGGTGGGCGGAGTGATGGGATCAGGCTTACACTTCTGGAAGCTCAGGTAGCCACAGGTGGAGGACTGACTTGCAGGGCTGCAGCGGGGCGAGCAGGCTAACCCGGGGCTGTCGCCATGGCGCAGGTGATGTTCCCCGGGAGGAGTGTCATGGACCCTTCCCGGGTGGGATCCTGGCAGCGAAGTTGCCCCGAGTGGCCCCCAGGAGCCTGAGCAAGGGAGCAAGTTGAGAGAAGTGGTTCAGAGGAAAGATAACCCATCTCTACAAGGACACAGGTGGGCCCCCAAAACATAGGTCGGCCAATCCCCAGTTTCGCCAGGGCCAGTCTGGTTCCCAGAGCAAGAGACTGTGACCTTAACAGAGAGGTGCACAGAAGTGGCCCTCACCGGGCAGACCTCCTTAACAGGCACGGCCCGCTCTCTCCTTCTCCCCCTTTCCCGTGGGGTGATGTTATTAAGGGAAGAGTTCCACAGAGGACAGGGGGTGACAATTACTAGGAGGCCCCCAGCTTCCCTGCCTCTTCTTTCAAAGCGTCAAAAAGGCAGACCAGGAGTGCAGGAGGTTTTCCTTGATTTGTTCAGTTCAGGGATGTCTGGCTGAGCCCGGCCATTCTGACTTCGTGTCCTGAGG